GTCCCCCCCCCACAGCCTTCCTCTTCCAGGGCACCCTGAAGCCCATCACCTGGGCCCAGTGGGCCCCTCCCCAGGGTTGACCCCTGGCCTTTTCTTTCTTTCTTTCTTTCTTTCTTTCTTTCTTTCTTTCTTTCTTTCTTTCTTTCTTTCTCTCTCCCTTTCTTTCTGTCTGCACCCCCACGGCCCCTCCCTGTCCAGCAGGGCAAGGATTCATCTCCAGTTTCCAGGGCCTGCACCCCTCCTGCCCCCACCCTGGTGTGGGCATCTTCTGATCCCTGAAGCACAGACCTGGGGGTCACTGCCCCTCGGGCTGGGGGGCTCTACCCCACCATCCAGACCCCCTTGGCCTAGATGTGAGCCAAAGGACATGGCTGACCAGATGCTTTCTCTGTTACACAAAGATGTGCATCTTTTCTCCCTTTCTGCAGCCCGATGAGAAAGAGAGAGAGAGAGACCACCAAAATATGACATTTAAAAGGCCGAATCCCCCCTTCTCTTAAAACATATTTCCTGGTGGCGCAAACCTTATTTTTTTTATGTTTTACCGAACAGGGAAGCAGAGTCACAAAATGCTGGGAGCCAAACGGTCTTCAGGTCAGGGTCAGCCATGCCTGGGGGGCCAAAGATGCTGCAAACAGCACCCGTTGCCCTACTAAATACATTCTGAGGGGAAGAGCAGGAACAATAAAAAACAGCTGTGGGTGCTCGCAGCGTTCTTGGCGGGCTTTGGAGATTTCAGCTACGGACTTTTGGTGGTGATTGCTAGGTTTACAGGGAGACCCCGGCTTTCTCCCCTGCGCCGTTGCGTTTTCCTAAATCTTGGGAGTGAATGTTTTGGGGTGCAGGAGCTGCACGCTTAAACCTTTGAAACAGGTTGCTGAGGCTCTGCGCCAGACGTTTGCTTCACTTGCTACATACAAACCTGTAAGGTTTTTAACATTAGGGGAATTTGCGTAGGGACAAAACAGTGAAATACTGAAGAAAAACAGGAGATGAAAGAAAACTCTGAGGAGGAACCCCACCTAAGCTGCTGAAAATGTTAGGTGCCGAGGAAATCGGCAATCTGTTGCTAATCTTTGTCCAAAAAGTTAAAGTTAAAAGAAAAACCAAATTGCCTACAACTGAGTTGGATTTATTCTCCACAGATGAAACACATTTATCTTTCAAGATTAAAACTCAGCGTATTTCAGGAAGATTCCTACAGCTTTTCCTTAAAGGAAAAAAGCGAGACCGTGACCCATTGTGTAGCGCTAGGTGGAAGGGACCTTGTGCTATACAAAGCATTAAGCTTTTTAGCATTAAGCAAAAAACTCATTCATTTACTGGGAACCTACTTTTTAGAAATTAAGCGTTGAAACCCCCCCCCCCCGAAGCAGAAATGAATAAGTGCAGATTTCCAGTAGGGAAATGCATTTATCTCGGAAGCTGGATCAACATAATCATGTTTTTTTTTTTTAATTTAAAAATGTTTATCGCCTTCTGCAACACAGACTAATTCCAGGATTTTTTTTTTTAATGTTTATTTAACAGTCACTGCTCTGGTGACCGCGGGACTGTTAGATGATTAGCAGACAAAGTTAATTCACCTAACTGGTTACTGAGATAGCATTGCTTTTTTCAAGTGAGATCTATAGCAAGCATGGATAAAAAAAAAAAAAATAAGGAAAATTCAAGTTTAAAAAATCACCCAGGTCTTTCAAGGTTTGAACTAATTTGATTTTTCATTTCAAAATTTGAACCAGGATTTTTTTTTTTTTTGGCTTAAAAAGTAAAAAAAAAAAAAGGCTTTGTTTGTATTTTTGTAATAATAGTAATTCTATTCATTGTCCAAATTCCAGAGAGACCCTTGGTAAAGGTGTCGATCACCTGTGACACCCTCACCTCCCTGTGGTGCGGGCAGCCTATCTGTATGCTTACAGCGGTATCTAAAAAACATTTTTTTTTCCGTAGGGTTGTGTATATTTTTTTCTCAAAATTAAATATTGGATCAGATTAATTTTCTCCATGTTTTTTTTTTAAGTATGTAGATTTTGATCATCAAATAACCCCAGTTTTCTTTAAAAGAAATAATATTAAATTAATATTTTCTGATTGATGTATGTGAGCAGCCGGAACAGCCGAGTATTTCAAACCAGCAAGCCGAGCAGATATACTCCCCTACCTCAGGATTCTCACAAGTAGCTGTAATTCTGGCCAATATCCTTGAGGATTTTTATGTTCTACATATGAGAAAAAAAATCACTTTGCTGCAAATTACAAATTTCCCAGGGAAAAAGCAATAGCAGATGTTTAGGTAAAACTTCCTTGCTATCTGAAAGAACAAAACACTATTTAACTGAGCAAACAAAATTGATAGATGCTTTAGATTTTTGCTGTTGTTGTATGAAAATGGAGCTTAAAAACCAACGTGTCTGAATTCTGATAGATAAAACACTTCAACTCTCTTGATATTTACTATTCAGGTGAATTTTAGATTTTTCTAAGCTGTTTTCCCCCTGTGTGGATTGCTTGGTGCCAGCTTTTCACAGGGGTCAGTGTGAAGCGCATTCAGCGTTTCTATGCATTATTTCCCTCTCTACGTGCTAGCTGTCCTCTGGATCTGAACATTCTATCCATTTTTTGTGAGCCTTTGCTCTGTAGCTATCAATCTCCCGATTTACCACCATGTTTAGTTTTCAGCGGGCTGGGGAAAGTATTTTAGCACCAAGGAGGATTTTGACATTGCACATAATATTTCTTCTGTTTGAACATTTTACCTATTTTATGGCAATTTGCCATATATCTGGGAAGCTGTTGATTTATATCTTATATTTAGAGTAAGTTCTAGAGGAGTGGGGGATTTCTATTTCAGAGCAAAGGTAGAATTTCCACATGTCAAATAGTAGACTTCCCATTTGGGCATTTTATCCTTTTTAATGAGAAATTGATAAGGATGTGAATTTGCTGATGTGCTGCGTGTAGTTGGCTTAGCTTCTAGTATAGTAGGAGAAAATTATTTTTAAACAAGATAGAATTTTCACTTGTCACAGAGTAACTAGGGTTTGAATTGCTCATTTTATCCATTGTGATAACAGTTTACCGTAAATCTAGCAGCTATTGGTTTACTTGGTATATGAAGCAAAATCTCCTAGTCTGGGAAGTAAATTATATTTGTAAGCCAAATGGAATTTTCACTTGTCTCACAGACTTTGCAGACAGGAATGAACATCACCACACAAACGGGCGAGATACAACCTGAGAGAGAAAGATAGCCTGTGACTAGTTTTTAACACTAGTTTTCATTGATGAAAATCACCCCCTAAAGAAAAAACACTGAAACACTGAGGAAATCATAGCTTGTTGAAAATGTTTCAGGTCAAATACTCAGATTATTTGTGGATCTAAATGCAGTATTTCTACATACTATTTTCTCCACAATTGTTTCTTTTCTTTTTTCCTAACTAATTGTGCATAGGCTCATACCCTACCCGATCCTTTTTCTTTAATCTTACCCTTCTACAGTCTCTATTCTAAACACCTTAATCTATATATTTATCTTATTTCCTAGTCTCAGCATGGAACAGGACCCTAGGTAATCAGATGACACAGGTTTATCTATTCCGGTTCTCGGGCTGGAGGAACTTTTTACGCTTTGCTCTGTTGGTCTCTATATTGCTTTTTCATATTTCTTAACCTCTCTAATAGAGGTATGCAGGCAGATAAAGGGATAGACAGAC